CAGACGTCACAGCTCCACACGCACACTCAGACGTCATAGCTCCGCTCCACACACACTCAGACGTCACAGCTCCGCTCCACACACACACTCAGATTTCACAGCTCCACTCCACACACACACTCAGACGTCACAGCTCCACACACACACTCAGACATCACAGCTCTGCTCCACACAGACGTCACAGCTCCACATGCACACTCAGACATCACAGCTCCACACACACAGACGTCACAGCTCAGCTCCACACAGACGTCACAGCTCAGCTCCACACACTCAGACGTCACAGCTCCGCTCCACACGCACACTCAGACGTCACAGCTCCACACGCACACTCAGACATCACAGCTCCACACACACAGACGTCATAGCTCAGCTCCACACACTCAGACGTCACAGCTCCGCTCCACACGCACACTCAGACGTCACAGCTCCACACGAACACTCAGACATCACAGCTCCACACACACAGACGTCACAGCTCCGCTCCACACACACTCATACGTCACAGCTCCACACGCACACTCAGACGTCACAGCTCCACACACACACTCAGACTTCACAGCTCCGCTCCACACACACTCAGACTTCACAGCTCCACACACACACTCAGACGTCACAGCTCCGCTCCACACACACACTCAGACTTCACAGCTCCGCTCCACACACACACACTCAGACGTCACAGCTCCACACACACACAGACGTCACAGCTCCACTCCACACACTCAGATGTCACAGCTCCGCTCCACACGCACACTCAGACGTCACAGCTCCAATCCACACGCACACTCAGATGTCACAGCTCCACACGCACACTCAGACGTCACAGCTCCACACACACACTCAGACGTCACAGCTCCACACACACACTCAGACGTCACAGCTCCACTCCACACACACACACTCAGACATCACAGCTCTGCTCCATACACACTCAGACGTCACAGCTCTGCTCCACATACTCAGATGTCACAGCTCCGCTCCACACACTCAGATGTCACAGCTCCGCTCCACACGCACACTCAGACGTCACAGCTCCACACACACACACTCAGACGTCACAGCTCCACTCCACACGCACACTCAGATGTCACAGCTCCACACGCACACTCAGACGTCACAGCTCCACACGCACACTCAGACGTCACAGCTCCACATGCACACTCAGACGTCACAGCTCCACTCCACACACACACACTCAGACATCACAGCTCTGCTCCACACACACTCAGATGTCACAGCTCTGCTCCACATACTCAGATGTCACAGCTCCGCTCCACACACTCAGATGTCACAGCTCTGCTCCACACACACTCAGACGTCACAGCTCCGCTCCACACACACACTCAGACGTTACAGCTCCGTTCCACACACACTCAGACGTCACAGCTCCACACACACACTCAGACATCACAGCTCTGCTCCACACACACTCAGACATCACAGCTGCACTCTCCACTCCGCACAGGACCCCAAGCCAGTCCTGGGCTTTGTCTGACACAGTTCTTCACGAACGACCTCACTAGGTTGGCCTCGCACAATGCCTAGACCTTTGAGAGCCATGTCTTCATGACATGAATCTTTCCCTGTAAGGCAGGCAAAGAATTAACTGATCTTAGGCCTCGCAAAAGTTCTATTTCCGTTTTGAGCAGCCTACTGCCCTCAGTGAAGTGTCATTTAGTCTCTGAATGGCTTTCTCCCCGTGACACCAACAGCCTCTGTGTTCATTGTGTTTAACAGAATACATGACGTTTTCGTGGGTGAGTCTTCTTCCTGGGGTTCTGATTGTTTCCAGACTTGGGTTCTCTGCCCTTGGAAGCCTCAGGCCATCTCACACCATGGGGCACTTTGGTGAATCTGGCCAGAGCTGACCTCTAACTCCTCTGTACAGCTTCAAACAGCCCGTGAATCATGACCCAGCCCTTTTCTTCATATATCACCCCCCCATACACACACACACACACACACACACACACACGCGTATGTTATATTTAGTGTGTGTATAAGTAGGGGCATAGGTAGATATAGATGATGCTGCTGGATGATAGATAGTGGATGATAGAATTATGTCTTCATATATAGATAGGCAGACAACTAGATGACAGAGATAAATACATGATAGAAAGATAGACAATAGGCAGATAGACAGATCTATATATATCATATGGATAGATGCACAGGTAGAAAGGTAGATGATAGATAGATGACAGATAAGTAGATCTATGGATAATAGATATTTATCATTTCACAGGTTAGACACCAAGTGGCCTAGGTTAACTGCTGCCCTTTGGTTTACATGAGCTCAAGGTAATTTTATGGAGCACGAGGTGCGGACATACTCACCCCAGCCAAGGCACAGGAAACGTTTCCTTATCAGCCGTGTCCTGATCTTCCCAGTTACAGCCATGTATGACTGCCAGGCCTCGGTCAGGACCCAGCAGAAGGAGGCCAGAAAGAAGAAGTGGAGGAACGCCGTGGTGGTTGTGCAGATGCTCTGTGGGGAGAAAGAAGACTCATCATGCCAGGCCCAGGCAGGACCGCAAGGGCTCCTCCCCGAGTGCACCTTGCCTCATCTCTCCTCTCCCTCTTTCTTTTTGTGCCAGAGCAGCTTGAACTTAGGCTTGACCTCTCATTGAGTCACCTCCCACTTCCACATCTCTGCTAGTTAATTGGAGATAAGAATCTCACAGACTTCTCTTCACAGGCTGGCTTTGAACCCCAGTCCTGAGATGTCAGCCTCCTGAGTAGTAGCTAGGATTACAGCCATGAGCTATCAGCATTCAGGTTAGCAGGTTCATTTCTAACTCTATTTTTATTTCAAATATGTACCTCTCTCCAGTACTAGAGTTCTTATTTCCAAGAATGAGGAACCCTGCAGTCTTGATACCGTATGTAATGGTACCACAGGTAAAAATATATGTCTCAGTTTCTTATTTCTTTTATGAGGAGAACGTGGGATTTAAATTTAAGCACAAGCAATATTGAAATTACTGCTTTACTTGAAGGTTTTTCTTGAAACCCACATTTGGATAGTCGCGTCCTCAGATTAGTTTAAGTCCTTGTCTGTGCTTTCTACCCTCAAAGCCTCTTGGTTGTTTCAACCAGGTTGATGTTAAGATTCCATCTGGAAGTGCAATAGCCTTTCAAAATAAAAATTACTCTGCTTTTATATGTGGGCGATATTTAAGACATAACAGCAATTTACAAAATGAGGTTTGGCTAATAGCCTAGAATAGAAATAAAAAGTATCTTTGAGTATTTAATTCCATGCTTTGATGTTATCACATTGCATCCTGTGTCCTAATCAAGTAATTTCAAAAGCCTGTCGAGTCGCTGCCAGTACACAGCCATGAATTCACAGGTATTTTCCCTCTTGTGACTTCATCATTCTAAACATGCTGAGGATTAGCTGTGCTCTGCTCTCCAGGGTCCAGCAGCCCCTGTGGAAAAGGCTAGCACAGATGTCACTCTTGGTATAATTCCTGCCTGTGGATCTTGGTTGAATGAGCATCTCTGTTAACTAGAATTAGTAACATAACGGTCTCCACCACTCTCTGTGGGTCATGTTCCTTCCAGACACTGAAAGCAGACAGAGGAAGGGGTGTGAATGCACACATGGGAAACTGGAAGTGGGCCCGGGAGGTACGGGGAAGGATGGAAACAGTGTGGGTCAGCATGCATGCTACTCAGAAACTGACCTGCTGAAATGAAGCCCCTTTGTACTACTTCAATATCATAAATAAAATTAAATCAAGAAAAGAAAATTGGATTTTCTTTGAGGTTTTCCCAATTGAATTAAAAATCGTCAAAGAGAGTAGAATTACAAAAGTTATTAAAAACTCAAATTAATGAAATTATTCGCACCTCCAACCCAATTCAATGCTGAAGTAGAATTCTGTTTGAATTTTTACTTTGGGGGCCACAGTACTTATATTATCAAAGTTCACCAGATGTTGATTAGCTTTCCAGTTCTTTTAATCCAACAGGAAGAGCATCACGTGACCTCGGAGCCGTTTCCCTGGTGACAGGCAACGTGGAGCACCCAGCTCAGACACAGCAATATGGTCACAGGCAGTAGAAATCCGTTTCCTGACTTATTATTTACTTAGTACTTAAGTTTATGCTTACAGAAATGAGAACCAACTGTCGGTGTGCTGAAGTCATGGGTCTCTTACAGACTCTTTCTCACACCTTTCCTGCTGGCTCTCATCACTGCAATAGCTCCCCTCCCCTCTCTCCTTTCACCCTTTCTTCTCCTCTCCTCTCCTTTCCTCTCCCCTTCCCTCCTCTTCCCTCTCCTCTTCCTTTTCCTCCCTCCTCCTCTCCTTCCCTATCTGCCTGTGTTTTTCTCTCCTTCCCTCTTTCCCCCTTTCCTCCTGTCTTCATACTTGAGCTTGAATTTAGGGCCTTATGCTCTTCTTAAGATTTTTTCTTTTTCATTTAAGGTTGAAGCTTTACCAGTTGAGCCACAGTTCTACTTCTTGTTGTGGGCTGATTAATTACAAGTAGGGTCTCACGGATTCTTTTTCTGTTCTGGCTGGCTTTGAACTGGGATCCCCAGATGAAAGTGTCTGAATAGCTGGGAATACAGGTGTGAGCCACAGGTGACTGGTTTAGGATTCTTCTTTAATCTGAGTCATTAGGACTAATTTTTCCCCATAGAAAGATTTAAGTCACTTGCAGGCTATTTTTTCTCCTTTTTCATGCTAATCTGAACTTGACAATCTTCATAAATCACTTTCTGAAGACAAGTTACACATTTTAATTCACATTTCATTTCCTTCCATGGTATCTTATCTAATTTGCAGGTACTAGCAAAGCTGATCTTCTATTTTTAAATGGTCAATAAAGAGATACAGCTCAGAGTGTGAGTGGGGAAATGTTACACCCTAAACATGAGACCACACAAGAGGTGATGGAGGACTGTATCTCCTAGTAAAGAAAACTGACTTTTCTCTCTGTTTTCCTTTCAGGACTCACAAGCTCTCACTTTGGTGTGAATCTCAACAGAATGAGATGTGATCTGGAGTGGCTGATGCTTGTTTCTATACTTCATGTCTCTTTGCCCTGCACAGTCACAGCAAAACTGAGGGTGCTGCTGTGAGTGTGGAAGAGTGGTCTGTATCCTATCCGCAGGCAATGACGGCACAATGCAGTGTGTCCTCCTGTGTGCCAAGCATGCTCCCCGTTGGGTGTGAACTGTCCTGGTCAAAGGGGTGTGTACACACATGCAGTGATGTGTGCACAGTGTAGTGATGTATGCCCTCAGTGCAGTGATGTGTGCATGGTGCAGTGGTATGTGCACGTTGTGCTGTTGTGTGTGCATGCGGTACAGCTGTGTGTGCATGCAGTGCGGTGGTGTGTGCATGGTACAATGGTGTGTGCATGCAGTGTGATGGTGTGTGCATGTAGTGTGGTTGTGTTTATGGTGTGGTGGTGTGCACGTGGAGCAGTGGTGTGTGCATGGTGTGGTGGTGTGTGCCTGTGGTGTGGGGGTGTGTTCATGGTGCAGTGGTATGTGCACACAGTGCAGTCGTGTGTGCATTGTGCAGCAGTGTGTATATGCGGTGAGGCAGGGTGTGCACAGTGCAGTGATATGCACACAGTGTAGTGGTGTGTGCATGCAGTACAGGTGTGTGCATGTGATGTCGTGGTGTGTATGCAGTGCGGCGGTGTGTGCACGTGAAGTCATAAAGGCTTACAGAGGCAGCACAGCACTCTCATGACCTGCAGATCACATAGCTTGGATATACTCTTATGTGAAGAAATGGTACAAAATCACACACTTGACGTGGTAAAACACACCTTGATCACTTTGATCCCAGAGATGCAAGACTGGTCAATATATGTAAGTCAATAAATGCAACACGCAGCATTAGCAGAGCCAATTACAAGAATCACACGATCATCTCAACAGATACAGAAAAAGTCTTCAAAAAATTCAGTGTCAGTTTATGATTAAAGCTCTGGAGAAGCTAGACTGGAAGGGACATTCCTCAACATAATAAAGGCTATGTACAACAGACTTACAGCCAATATCATGCTAAATGCTGAAAAACTAAAACCATTTCCTCTAAAATCAACAAGACAAAGATGGCCACTCTCTCCCCTTCTTTTTGATGTAACATTGGAATTCAAAGCGAGAGCAACAAGGAAAGAGAAAGACATAAAAGAGATCCAGAGAGGGAAAAATAAAGTCAAACTTCCCCTACATTCGGATGACACGATCCTGCTCCCAAAGGCCCAAGGACTCTGCCCCCATGCTCTAGAAGGGATCAATAACTAGCAAAGGAGAATACAAAGTTAACTCACAAAAAAATCAGTAATTTTTCTGTATACCAACAGTGTGTACATTGTATACATACACAGACAGGGAAATCAGGAAAACAACTCTGCAATAGCCTAAAAAGAAGTATATAGGGGGCTGGGAAGGTGGCTCAGTGGTAGAGTGCTCGCCTTGCATGCAGGAGGCCCTGGGTTCGATTCCTCAGTACCACATAAGCAGAAAAAGCCGGAAATGGTGCTGTGGCTCAATTGGTAGAGCGCTAGCCTTTATCTGAAGAGCTGAGGGACAGTGCCCAGGCCCAGAGTTCAAGCCCCAGGACGGGCAAAAAAAAAAGAAGTATGTAGGAACAAACGTAACCAAGGAAGCAAAAGACCTCTATAGAGAAAACTATTAAAAGAAAGAAACTGAAAAAAACATCAGAAACTGTAAAGACCTCCCTTGCTCATGGATTGGCAGAGTTAATATCATGAAAATGGCCATACTGTCCAAAACAATCTGCAAATATAACACAGTCCCCATCGAAATCCCAACAGCCTTCTTCACTAGGATAGAGAAAACCATCCTGGTTGGGAGATCCTGTGCTAATCAAAGTTACAGTTCTTCATCTCCAATACCACTTGCGTCCTACCCCTAGAGGTCAGACTTCTGCGAAGCAGAATGGAAAAGCACCAGGCTTTTCCATTTACAAACGTCAACCTCAGATGCTCTTCTGCCATAGATTTCTATCTCGACCTCTCTTCAGTCACTCAAGCCCTGCACCCTCCCCGAGACTCGGGATCCTGAGGCCTCTCCTTCCAGGGCCATGCTCCACCTGCTGTCTGCTTCTGTCACACACAATTGGAACTTCGGGTCTGGGTGTGAGACAGCCAGAACGGCATGTTCACTGTATTGTTCCTCCTGCACACTCATCCTGCCATTCCTACCACACTGGAGGCCACGCCCCAGTGTGCCCCAGCACACTGACGCGAGTCCTTAACAATCAACCAGAAAGCAAGCTTGGTGGGTAAACTGAGCACCAGCTACCCCTGGCTTCCTGTATATTCTTCTTGCTTACTCCCTCCTCTTTACTTCCCGAAAATAACTCTCATAAAAAGAAAGCTAAATGTTGACGACCTACATTCAGTAAGAAATCAGGTAAGAGCAAATAGAAAACACACACCACAGCTGAAGCCAGATATCTGGAGCAGAAGTGACATGGAAAGTAGGAG